AAAAAAAAAAAAAAAAAAAAATTAGCTGAGCTTATTGATGAGCATCTGTAGTCTCAGCTACTCTGAGAATCAAGGCTGGTAATCAAGTCTGCAGTGAGCCATGATCTTGCCACTGCACCCTAGCTTTGGTGGCTGAATGAGACCCTGTCTCAAAAAAATAAAAATAAAAAATCAGTGAAGTGCATATTTAAACAACAGGGAGATATTGCTACACATTATCAAAATGTAACTAACATAAAATTAAAACTTAAAAAAAGCCAGAATTGGTGAGTATACATGATTAAATAAAATGTTCAGACACTAAAATGTTAAGTTGATACAACCCCTTTGGAAAATTTCATAGATTTACCGTTAAATTAGTCCTTTTTATACATTATAAAAAATTTCAATTCCAAACTGTAACCAACTGTCAATCGAAAGCAGAATATATAAACAAATTGTAATATAGTTCTTCAGTGAGTACCAAACAATAATGAAAATTAACAAAAAATATAGCACTATACAACTACATGGATCAATCTCTCATGGACAAAATGTTTCTTTCTTTTTTTTTTTTTTTTTCTTTTCTGAGATGGAGTTTTGCTGTTGTTGCCCAGGCTGGAGTGTAATGGTGCACTTGGCTCACTGCAACCTCTGCCACCTGGTTCCAGTGATTCTCCTGCCTCAGCCTCCAAAGTAGCTGGGATTACAGGCATGCACCACCACACATGACTAATTTTTTGTATTTAATAGAGATGGGATTTCACTATGTTGGTCAGGCTGGTCTTGAACTCCTCACCTCAGGTGATCTACCCACCTCAGCCTCCCAAAGTGTTGGGATTACAGGTGTAAACCACTGCATCCAGCTCAAAATGTTGAATAAAAAGGATCATACACACAAAAAATACTTCCTAATTTTATTTATGAAAGTACAAAACTATGGTGCTAATAGGACAATAATACACTTGAGGAGGTAGACAGTAGGAGAGAACACACAGAAGGATCTTCTGGATACTGGTAATGTTCTGTTTCTTGATCTGGATGAAGATTGCATGGATTAATTCACTTAGTGATAACTGAGCTTTAACACGTATAGTATGTATATTTTTGTACGTTCTTTTACTTCAATAAAAGTGTAAAATATCATAGTGACGCTAATTTTAAAAGACACAGCCAAAGCAAAACTACATTGAAAGGTGAAACATTAAAGAGTAAACCAAGATCTGACACTCAAGTGGGATGATTTTCATACACAAGGTGAGAGAGAGGTGGAGAGAGGGGTTTAAGAATGCAATGTTTAAATCCTGCTACCATATAAAGAGGAATAATCAAATTCAAAACAAACACAACTAACGAGAATCTATTTGAGACAGAAACTGGAGAAAAATAACATTTCTGAATGTGCCTCAGTTTCAGACTTAGCAAAATGACACTTCCATTACAAAGGAAGTGTTTTGCTAGAAGCATGTAAATATTACCTACAAATAACTTAAAAATGGGAAAAATTTCAATGAGGCTATAAATATGGGAGAAAATAAGTACCACTATGAAAGAATTAATTGAAATAGTCCAAATTATTTTTACAATTGAGTTCTTTCAGACTTTCAATACGCAGATATTTATAATGTTATGTAAACATTTTCAGAGTATGATAAATATAGAGAAATTCTCAGTTTGCTCTATGAAACTGTTGTATGTCATTCAGACATTGAAACATGACAAAAATAGTACAAAGTTTAAAGGGAATAGAGCAATTCCTTTAGTTCACTAGCAGAAATTCCCAAATAAAATAAAACACTAAATTTAACAGTATAATAAAATAATCTACTGTGACTCAAATTGATCTCATTTAAACAAAGGGATGTTGTCATATTATTAGGAAGCACTATCTTTTGTCATTTTCGTAATTCACAAATAAATCTTAGTAAATGTTTTAAAAAGCCATTTGATAAAATCCAACCTTCATTTCTCCTAAACCTCTGTAATCTACTAAGAAAAACTAGTTACTTAATGACAACAAACATCTAAAAGCAAAAATAAACTGTTCAGATCATACTTAGATGGGAGCTAGTCCTACTACAAGTTGATAAAAGATGAGAATGTTTGCTATCACTACTACATTTAGCATTGTTTAGGAGGAGCTGGCCAATGTATTAAAGGAGAAAATAAAACAAAACAAATATTTAAAAAATGAGACATAACCTTTGAAATGGCAGAAATTAAATTTTCTCTACATGCCTATTATATGATTAAAACCCTAATTTAGAATATAGAAAACTTAATAGAATGAATAACATATTAAAATTCAGGAAATGAAGTTATGGCTTACTAAGTAAATACATGTGGGTAACAAG